TCCTTTGGGGATCTCTTTCAGGAGGTGAATGGTGGATTCTTTCAATTTCTATTTTGCCCTTTGGTTCTAAAATATCAGGGCAGTTTTCCTTGATAATTTCTTGAAAGATGATGTCTAGGCTCTTTTTTTGATCATGGCTTTCAGATAGTCCAATAATTTTAAAATTCTCTCTCCTAGTTCTATTTTCCAGGTCAGTTGTTTTTCCAATGAGATATTTCACATCGTTTTCTATTTTTTCATTCTTTTGAATTTGTTTTACAGTTCTTGATTTCTCATAAAGTCACTAATTTCCAATTGCTCCATTCTAATTTTTAAGGAAGTATTTTCTTCAGTAAGCTTTTGGAGTTCCTTTTCCATTTGGCCAATTTTGCTTTTGAAGGCATTCTTCTCCTCGTTGGCTTTTTGGGCCTCTTTTGCCATTTGGGTTAGGCTATTTTTTAAGGTGTTATTTTCTTCAGTATTTTTTTGGGTCTCCTTTAGCAAGTTCATGATTTTCTTGCATCACTCTCATTTCTCTTCTGTTTTTCCTCTACTTCTCTTACTTGCTTCTCAAAATCCTTTTTGAGTTCTTCCATGACCTGGGACCAATTCATATTTTGCTTGGAGGTTTTGGATTTAGGAGCTTTGACTGTGTTGTCTTCTTCTGGTTGTATGTTTTGATCTTCTTTGTTACCAAAGAAAGATTCTATGGTCTGATTCTTTTTGTGCTTCTTGCTCATGATCCCAGCCAATTACTTGAGTTATAAACTCTTTGTTAAGGTAGGAGTCTGCTTCCAGTGTGGAGAATGTGTTGTCCCAAGTTTCAGGGGTTTTGTGCAGCTGTTTTCAGAGATACTTCTAGGGACCTGTAAATTTTCAGTTCTTCCAAGGTGGTACGATCAAGGGCGAGGTGTTTACTCTTTTCCTGGTCTGTGCTCTGGTCTGTGAGTGACCACAAGCACTCTTTTCTGTCTTGGAACTGTGAGGAAGATTCTTTCTCTACAACCACTACAAGCTGCACCATGCCAGCGCTCTTCCTAGCCCCAGGACTGCCACCCAGAACTGTGACCCAGATCCAAGCATGGGCAAAGCAAGAGAATTCTACACCAGCAAAAAGATCCCTGCAATCCCCCTCTGATCAGCCACTTGATTCCCCCTCAGTCTGTGGGCCAGAAGCTCTGGAGGCAGCCACTGTTTTGGGCCGCACACAGGGAATAGAGCTGTGATCTCAGGCTTCTCTCTCACTGCAGAGACAGACTTTTACCATTGACTTTATAATTTGTCCTTGGTGTTCATGGGGAAGTCTGGAAACCACTGCAGCTAAACCTGATTCAGTTCTCTGAGGCCTCCAACAAGTTCCTGATGACTGTGTGCCCACACTGAACTGCACTTCTCTCCCAGCCTGGCATGATATACCTTTCTGATCAACCATCCAGGTTGTCTCGGGCTGGAAATTTGCTTCAGTCTGTCTTTTTGTGAGTTCTGCTGCTTTAGAATTTGTTTAGAGCCATTTTTTACAGGTATTTAGAGGGGTTTGGGGGAGAGCTCAAGCAAGTCACTGCTTTTACTCCACCATTGTGGCTCCGCCCCCAAATTCTTTTTATGGTGATACAAATATGGTACTGATATTTTAACCAGGAACAGTCAAAACAGAGAAAGAAAATTATTGACCAATTTCCCTAATGAATATAGGTGCAAAAACTTTAAATAAAATTTTAGCAAATAGATTACAGCAACTTATCACAAGATAATACACTATGACCAGGTAAGATTTATACCAGGAATGCAGAACCAGTTCAATATTAGGAAATCTATCAGTATAATTGATCATATCAACACCAAAACTAACAGAAACCATATGATCATCTCAATAGATATAGAAAAAGCTTTTGACATAATACAACACCCATTCCTATTAAAAACATTAGAGAACATAGGAATAAATGGAGACTTCCTTAAAATAATAAATAGCATGTACCTAAAACCTTCAGCAAGCATAATATGTAATGGGGACAAGCTAGAAGCATTTCCAATAAGATTGGGTGTGAAACAAGGATGTCCATTATCACTGCTGTTGCTCAATATCATACTGGAAATGTTAGCTTTAGCAATAAAAGAAGAAAAAGAAATAGAAGGTATTAGAATAGGCAAAGAAGAAACAAAGTTATCACTCTTTGCAGATGATATGATGGTATACTTAATGAATCCTAGAGAATCAAGTAAAAAACTGCTTGAAATAATAAATAACTCTAGCAAATTTGCAGGCTATAAAATAAACCCACATAAATCATCAGCATTTCTATATATTACTAACAAAGTCCAACAGCAAGAGATAGAAAGAGAAATTTCATTTAAACTTACTGTAGGTATTATAAAATATTTAGAGGTCTACCTCCCGAAATAAACCCAGGAACTATATGAACACAATGACAAAACACTTTTCACACAAATAAAGTCAGATCTAAATAACTGAAAAAATATCAGTTGCTCATGGGTAGACCAAGCTAATATAATAAAAATGACAATTCTACCTAAGCTAATTTACTTATTCAGTGCCATACCAATCAAACTACCAAAAAATATTTTATAGAGTTAGAAAAAATAATAACAAGATTCATTTGGAAGAACAAAAAGTCCAGAATATCAAGGGAACTAATGAAAAGAAATGCAGGGGAAGGTGGCCTAGCCATTCCAGATCTTAAATTGTATAGTAAAGCAGCAGTCATCAAAACCACTTGGTACTGGCTAAGAAATAGAGTGGTGGATCAGTGAAATAGGTTAGGTATGCAAGACACAGTAGTCAATGACTATAGTAATCTATTATTTGATAAACCCCAGCTTCTGGGATAAGAATTCACTCTTTGACAAAAACTGCTGGGAAAACTGGAAAAGAGTATGGCAGAAACTAGGCATAGATCAAAATCTCACATCATATACCAAAATAAAGTCAAAATAGGTTCATGATTTAGATATAAAGGCTGATCCTGTAAACAAACTGGGAGAGCAAGGAATAATTTACCTACCAGATTTATGGAGAACAGAAGAATTCATGACCAAACAGGAGATAGAGAACATTACAAAAAGCAAAATGGATAACTTTGATTACATTAAATTGAAAAGTTTTTGCACAAACAAAGCCAATGCATCCAGAATTAGGAGGGAAGCAGAAAACTGGGAAAGAATTTTCACAACCAGTGTCTTTGATAAAGGCCTCATTTCTAAAATATATAGAGAATTAAGTCAAATTTGTAAGAATACAAGTCATTCCCTAATTGATGAATGGTCAAAGGATATGAACAGGCTGTTTTCAGAGGAAGAAACTAAAACTATCTATAGTCACATGAAAAAATGTTCTAAATCACTACTGATTAGAGAAATGCAAATGAAAATGACTCTGAGGTACCATATTAAACCTATCAGATTGGTTTTCATGAAAAAACAGGAAAATGATAAATGTTGGAGAAGATGTGGGAAAATTGGAACACTAATGCATTGTTGGTGGAGTTTGAAATGATCCAACCATTTTGGACAGCAATTTGGAACTATGCTCAAAGGGCTATAAAAATGTACATACCCTTTGACCCAGCAATAGCACTTCTAGGGCTATATCCCAAAGAGATCATACAAATGAGAAAAGGACCTACAACATCACTAATGTGAAAATATGTTTAATAGGAACATAAAAATGAATGTTAACATTGTTTTTACATGTAACTGGGGAAAAATAAAATTCTAAATAATAGCTAAAACATAAATTAATCTGGTTCTTCTCTTTTCACACCACAGCAGCCAGTTACTCATTATTTTCCATACAATAATATTCTATTACATCATACACCACAGTTTATTTAGCCATTAGGCAACTAATAAGCCTTCCTTTAGATTCTATGTCATTTTGTCTTGTCTTGTAGTCTTATCTTTCTTTCCCTTTTAAATGCCCCTTCAGGCTCATTTCCAGTCCCCCTGCCAATTCTAGTGTCTCCCTGTTTATTGCCTCTAGGATCCAATATAAATTCTTCTTGACATTTAAAGCTCTCTATAATCTGACCCATTCCTACCTTTCTGATCATCTCACACTTTATTCCTCTCCCACTCTATTATCCAGCTATACCAGCCTGCTTTAAGTTTCTCAAATACAACACCCCATGTCCCATCTCTGGGCTTTTGTCCTGGCTGTCCCCAGCCTAAAATACTCTTCCTCCTCGCCTCAACCCTTGCTTTCCCTGATCTGCAAGATTCAACTCCTGTCCTACCTTCTGTAAGAAGCTTTTCTGAATCCCCCAGCTGCTAATGCTTTCTCTTCTCTATATATTTTGTATACCTAGTCATTTAAGCTACTTGAGGGTAGATACTGTTTCTTTTTCCTTTCTTTATATCCCCAGTGCTCAGCATGGTGCCTGGCACATAGTAAGTGCTTGATTTTTATTTGAATAATTGCCTAGATACTGGTGACCCAGAAAAGAAAGTTCCCACCTCCAAATCCTTGGCATTGTCAAATGTTTCAACGTCAGAAATAACTGTGGTTTTATCCACAGAAATGATACTAAAGAGAATGTATTACCATTTGCTTTGCTGCCAACTCCTAAGAATCTCAGGGCTTTTCCATCTAACTTGCCACTGAAACTTCCTGCATGTATTGTCTCCCCCTATCAGAATGCGAACTGTTGAAAGTAGGAAGTATCTTGTGCTTCTATTTATAGCCCAAGTACTTAACACAGTGCTTTCCACATGGTAAGTAATTATTAAATGCCCTTTAGCACATTTGCTCTTTCATGCAACCTGGGTCTCCCTTAGGATTGGAACTCTATTTCCTTTATCATATTTTGGAGTCCTTGAGGGTGTGCTCTTATCTTCTCCATTAGTCTTAGTGCTTTCTCACATCAATTGAATTTTATTGATATTTACAAATGCCAGCTGTGTGAATGATGTAGTGCTAGTCTCCACCTCCCCCAGTTACTGATCTGGGCCTCCCCAACACCTGACAGTGATTATACTTGAGAGTTTCCTGTCCTTACCCACAGGCTCAGTCATACCCAACAGTCAAGGACAGGTTCTGCCTGGTGACAGCCATCCTGGAGGGCAATGATAGGAAACCTTTGCACACCAATCCCAACTTGGGTATGGATAAGAGATAGGGAGTCCTTATGTATATATGGACTTCATTTCATTTTGGGGATCTGAAAATGGTACAGACTTTGGGGACTAATGTTCCTCTTTACTGGGGTGAGATCAAGTTGAGACCTGTTGAGGAGACCAAGAATCTGCCCTACAGAATAAAAATGGAGAACCAGAGAAGGAGGAAAGTATCATTTATATCCTGGATGCTTATGCTAGGTGTGTTTGCTTTGAGCAAATATTAGATAGGTGAGTCTAGGGGGACAGGATGGGAGGGAGGGTTAAGACAATAAGGGTCTCTCCTTTTTGACGATGTGTTTGAAAAGGTAGACATAGTCCCAGTGTCCATGAAGCCCCTGGTATGATGAGGAGGTAAGATATTAAAAAAACAAAGTTAGAGAAGAAGAAAAATAAGAACATAATTGAAAATATCTGGACAGAGCTGGGCATGATTTTGAAATGGCCCAGGATCCCATTTAAATACCTCTTTTTGACGTGTATGTTTCTTTGTAAGATTGAACATGACTTGAAAGAAGAGATGTAAGAGGATACTCCTAAGCCACCCCTTTGTGGAGGTGGGAGATCCCCAGGTGTTATATATTGTACATATTTTTGGACATTTTCAATATATTTATTGATTGTGATGATTTTTCCTCTTTTTTTTTCTTTTTTAAAAATGCCATTTGTTTTATAGAATGGTTCAGAAGGGAGGAAGGATATGGGGGAAAACTGACAATGAAAAAAAAGACATCAGTAAAAACCTATATACAAAAAACTCTTTATAACCTGTCCCCTTTCTATACTTCCAGCTTTCTTTATACTTCATATAGACCCCTCTACAAACTCTACAACCCAGCCATACAGCTTTGTTGACCTGTTTGCAGTTCTTAGAAAATGACCATCCACCTCCTTTCTCTGGCTCGCCTCCATTCCTGGAATGCTCTGCTCTGCTCTGCCCTCTCACTGCCACCTCTTGGCTTCCCTTGATTCCTTCAAGACTTAGTTCAACTGCAATCTTCTGCAAGAGGCTTTTCCCAGGCCCCTCAGCTACTAGAGGCTTCTCCACTCTGGCTTTTTGTTGTTCACTTGTGTGTAACCCTTTGTGACCCCATTTGGGGTTTTCATGGCAAAGATAGTAGAGTGATCTGTCATTTCCTTTTCCACTGAATCCAGTGGATCCATTTTTGTCAGGCAATCAGAGATCAAGTGATTTGTCCAGGGTCTCACAGTTAGGAAGTGTCTGAGGCTGGATTTGAACTCAGGTTTTCCAGACTTCAGGCCCACTGCTCTTTCCACTGAACCATGAGTCTCTTCCTTCCATTTAATTTGTATGTTATTGTTGTTGTTCAGTTGTGTCTGACTCTTAATGACCCCATTTGGGGTTTTCTTGGCAAAGATATTGGAGCAGTTTGCTATTCTTTTCTCCACCTCATTTTACAAAAGAGGAATCTGAAGCAAATAGGGTTAAATGACTTGCCCAGGGTCATGCAGCTAATAAATGTCTGAAGGCAGATTAGAACTTAGGAAGATGAGTATCCCTGACTCTAGGTCCAGCACTCCATCCACTGCAGTGTCACCTAGATACCTCTTAATTTATACACACCTAGTTATTTGCATATCTCTGCCATTGGAATATTAGCTTCTTGAAAGCATGGGCTGTTTTTAACCTTTCTTTGTATCCCCAGCATTTAGCACAGTGTCTAGTACATCGTAAGTGTTTAATATATGCTTGTTGACTGATCAACAAATTCTAACCAAGTGGAGTTAAACAGACACATTTTTCAGAAGAATGCCAATGTCCTTGAAGGAACAGGGAGGAAGGAGCAGAGCAATCCTCGGGAGAGGCTTTAAAAAGACAATTGAAGAGAAAAAAAGAAGGCGCAGAGAAATGCCTTTAAGGTAGTAGGGTCTAATGGACAAAAATGTCATTGGTTGCTAATTTGGGAGCTTAGTTCCATATCTATATCTATATTTATGTCTATATGGACACATGTGTATAATGTCATCATCATTGTAATCATCATCATTCTTTTTTAGTTTTGTTCACCTTTTGTTAAATAGATCATTCATTCCTTTTTTACACTAATGTGAAGCCCGTGATTGAGCAAGGCAGGCCCCAAAGCAAGTGTCTCTTCTCAACCTTGGGTAAATCAGAGAGTATTAGGCAACAGCATTGGTATTGGGAATCCCGTAGACACTAGACAGACAAAGGGAATTTCAGGTATCACATGTAAAAGGTCACCCATCCTCACTGGTGGTATTTGAAGATTCATAATAGCTAAAATAAATTTCTTCTGACTGAAAAGTCAGAGTAATTCTTTGGAGTTCAGGGGGAATTCACTACATTTCCATTGGTGTTTAGGTTTTATAGGTGGATGTCAGGGTGCCATCTCCATGAGAAGGAAAAGTGGGAGCCAGCAAAGGTTCTTAGGAAACAGGAACAATTTGGGGTTTGTCATGTTTGCCACGGTCATCCCTGGGTCAGGCTACTCTTACTGTGCTTGAATTCTGCTAGCTAGAGGCTTTGATGTAATTGTGACCAGAAGAAATAAAGATCTGGGGGCCAGTTCTACAAATACCCTCATGAGAAACAAAGTTGAGCAAGAAGGAGTCAGTGTCCAAATGGGCCTGACCATCTTCCTGTCTATTCACTTCTCTATTCACCCCAGACCCCCTTGACTCATCCTTGGGCTTAGTAGCATTGTTGCTCAGTTGTTTCAGTCTTGTCCAACTCTTTGTGACCCCATCTGAGATTTCCTTGGCAAAGATACTGGAGTGGTTTGCCATTTCCTTCTTAAGCTCATTTTATAGATGAGGAACTGAGGCAAACGGGGTTAAGTGACTTGCCCAGGATCACAAAGCTAATAATTGTCTGAGACTGGATTTGAATTCAAGTCCTCCTGACTCAAGGCCCATGCACTATCCACAGCTCAACCTAACTGCCATGGGGCTCAGTAGTATATACATGCTATTTCAGCCAACATGTCTACTCTATTGTGGTAGATGCTCCTCACTTACCTTGACCCAGGTATAGATAGATCACTTTACCTCTTTCTTCTTTGTTCAGAAGAAAGAATGAAAGGTAATCTCCCTAGTTCTAGATACGCTATTTGTATTCAGGCAGCCTGAGAGGACATTAACTGTATTTGTCTGCCATAAGACATTTTGGACTGATATCAACATTGAAATCCATTGAAGTTATTCACATTTTAAAACATTTTGATGACATTTTGATGATATTTTGTCTTTATAACAGTAATTCTCTCCCTACTCAAGTTTGAACCTTCTTTTGTGACAAAAATAATAATTAAACAAAGTCAAATAGTAGAGAAACTTTAGCTGACAATATAACAACACTGTGCCAGACACTGTGTTAAGTGCTTTAAAATTATTATCTCAATTGATCCTCACAACAACCCTAGGAGATAGAGTGTGGCAAGGGATGATGAAAAATTCTGGCTAGAAGTATAGATCAAGGAATCATCTGCAGAGAAATTATAACTGCCACCCTGGGAGCTGATGAGGTCATCAAGAGAAATAGCATAGAGTGAGAAGAGAAGAGAAGAGAAGAGAGAGAAGAGAAGAGAAGAGGAGAGGAGAGGAGAGGAGAGGAGAGGAGAGGAGAGGAGAGGAG